TAAAACAGAGCTGCTTTTGCTCTGAGTTTTAGAATCACACCAAGCATTAGACTTTCCATATCTAATCTCCCTTTATTTCAGAGTGTTTCTGATCCACAGAGCAGAGCACACCTCAAGCCACCCTCTTTATCTCATTTTTCCAAGTGTCCATGTGTAATCCGTCCCGTCACCTCCATCCACAGCACTCAGTCCCTACGGCTTGTGCAGCAAAACATACATTTATGTCCGTTTAAGAGTGGGAAGATGGTCACACACCTGGTCTCCGTCTTGAGGTTCCCCCTCTGTGCTCTATGTAGAAGGGCAAATGGTTGGTTTTGTTTGTTTTGTGAAGGGGGCCTCACTATGTAGCCCAGGCTAGCATGGAACTTGCTATGTAGACCAGGATGGCCTCAAACTCATAGAGACCCACCTCCCTCTGCTTTCCAAATGCTGGGATAAAGACGTGTGCCACCATGCCCGGCAGGTGTTTCTTTTTTCTTTTTTCAGATTTATTTTTAATTCATTTTATCGGAGTGCTTTTACCTGCACACACACTTGTGTAGCACATGTGTCTGGTGTCCACCAGGATAAAGAGGTAGGTGACAGATCTCCTGGAACTAGAACTACAGGTGGTTGTTAACTGCCTTGTGGGTGCTGGGAACTGAAGCTATGTTCTCTGTAAAAGTGACAAGTACTTTTGACAGCAGAATCATCTCCAGAGTCTCACAAATGGGAATCATTTAGTTAGTTAGTGGGGGGATGGGGATGTTGGTGAGAGAGAGAGAGAGAGAGAGAGAGAGAGAGAGAGAGAGAGAGAGAGAGAGAGAAATAGAGCGCACTTGCACACGGGCATATGAAAGTCAGAGGACAATCATTTCTCAGACATCAGCCACCATTTTTAGTGTTTCTGAGGCAGGTTCTCTCACTGGCCAGCACTGGAGTTCTCCAAGTAAGCAGGGCTGATGGTCCAGAGCACCCTTGGACCATGTCTGCTCCCTTGGCACGGGAATGAGAAGCACACCTCACGCACAGCTATTTTTACATGGCTCCCGGGGACCGGATCATGTGAAGTGGGTAGCCGGTCCAGCTTTGACCTTGAAGCACCGCCCCTAGTGAGGCAGCAGGTAACTGCCACACCTGCCTATGACCTGCCCCTAGGGCATGGCCGAGACGGGACCCTTTGAGGCCAGAGATGTGTAGGTGCCGGCTCTCTTGGCTCCTTGTAATAGTAGATGCTGGATTGCAGACCAAGTCAGAGTTCTCCAGAGAACCACGCTGGACTGCACCTCACCTCTCCCAGATCCTGTAACCAACCCTTTATTGGTTGTAAGTTACCCTGGAATAAACCTCTTAATTACCAGATAAACTACGTGGAATTGCCTTGCTGATTACTGCTATACTCACGTCTTCATGCTTACAGAGTAAACAGTTTACTGATCCAGCTAGCTCCCCAGTCCACAAACGGGGTTTTGTATCTCCTAACTTAGCTTTATTTTAGAAGTTTTCTGTTTCACTATAACAGAACTTTCCAAAGATGACACATTTATCATCTCCTTCCATTTGACTTCAGGACGGTGACTAAGGCTGTCTCCATGATGAAGACATGAACACCCTTCAAAGCCTGCATGCCTGGTCGCCTGTCTGCTCAGTGTCCTACCTCTGTGGTCACCGGGAAGTCACGTGTCCCTGTGAAAGAGCCCTGGTGACAGTGAGCATTTGTGTTACAGCGTGAAGAGACAAGTGCAGCAGGCTATAATCGGGGGGAAAAAGGAAGCCGTGTCCTCACCACTGACATCACCGCACACCAGTGGAAACCATGGCAATGAGACGTTAATGCGGAAACCCGAGTCACTTGAACCCCGCCACGGAGGGAGGGCAGAACAATGGAGAGGAACCTGGGACAAATGGCGCCACTGGGAACAGCATGAAACAGGGGCTCTGGTGTCATTAAAACTGGGCCTGGAGGCGGGCATGGCTGAGGATCTCAATGGTCCCGGCACCTAGGGCATGACTCACATGGTGCCCATCAGGTGACACCCTAGCCTGAACCTGAATATCGGCTGACACTGTAGAAACACTGGTCCTCTCGTCTAGCATTCACCGACACGGCTGTTAATGACTAACCCAGGCGTTGATGATGCATCAGCACACACCTCAGACAAAGCCTTTCGGCAGAGGCCTCTGCCACCTGCTCGGCCGCGCCCTTCCTGGTACTTTTGTATTGTTTCTCAGCCGAACATCAACACTCTTCTGTACTGGAACTTTCTGAGAAAAGGGCCTCCTGGGAAGGCCAAAGTTATCTTATATTCAGTGTCCCGTGGCAACCTCAACAGGTAGCCCCCCAAAATGAGAAAATGGTAAGACCAGGTAGTTATCCATGTAGGTCCAGAGCATGGTGAATCTCACCTTTGCTGGGACAGGAGTTGCTCTTTTGTTAGATAAGGTGACCTTGAACTAACTGTACCATCCCTGTCTTTGAAATTGCAATCAGTGGTCCTCCTGCCTCTGCCTCTCTGGTCCTGGGGTCAGAGGTGTATGCACTGCTATGACTATGACCTGTTTATTTCTGCCTTTCAGATGAAGTTGGTTAATTTATTAGAGCATACATCAGAATTACCTGAGGATCTTTTTCATAAGAAATGTAATCAAAACTGATCCTTGGAATGGGTTAACATGGAGTCTGGACATATGTTCCAAAGCACTCCTCAGGTGATAATGACGTGTACTCCTGGGTTCCTGCCACTGGGCAAGGCAGCCAGCCAGCATGGCTGCTATACTGGGTTTTCCTTCCCAAACATGGAGTTTCCTCTTTAACAGAACTCAATCATGTGACTGTTCCAGTGTATTCAGACTAAGATGGAAAGACCCTTTCTGCCCAAGCTCGCCCATGTTGTCTCAGGAGATAATAGCCCCCAGGTCAAACTCCACTAAGTTTCCGTTACCAGACCCTGGAGCAGAGGGGATGTGACTTGAAAGACAGCTTCCCCTCGGAACATCACTGGAATCACTGGGGCCCAGGTGAGGTGACCTCCAAAGCCTCCTGGGAGCGCTCCCATTGTGTAGGGATGCACAATTTCAGCACCAACTCTCTTGCCCTTCAAAACGTATCTCTTTTCATGTGTTACTCCCTCATTCCATCCCATGGGCCAACAGCCGCATTTGCAGCTGCCCGTAAAATCGCGCCCTGTGTATCTGCGATAGCACTGTTACGAAAAGAGCTTCCTGGGGGAAGCTGGCACTCTACTAAAGGCACAAAACAAAACACAAAACCGTATCAAGATGAAAAACAAACAGAATAAAAGAGGAACTACTTTGGACTCCATCCAGTAAGCCATTCATCTCATTTTGTCCCAATGTATATATGACAAGGTAGTTGCATTAAATGGTCTTCCAAACCCCTTCTCACTTTCGGGTCTTCTAAACCTATTATCTCCATAAGGCACAAGTGACTGTGTTCTCTGTGACATCAAATGAATATCCCCAGGAAATTGCCCCAAAGCTGGCCTTGGACGCATAGGCATCAGCCTCTGTGAGGCCTCTTCCGTGGGGCCCCTGTGTTCCTCTCTAATGGAAGGCTTGCCCCTTGCAGGGCAGAGTGAGCATGGGTAGCACACGGTCCCACCACTGGGGCGTTTGGATTGAACTGATTCTGTTGCCTTGGATCCCAGGACTGATTGCCGTTCTCATATGGGCCTGCCTGCCTACCTCACCCTGCTTGCTCAGCCCCTGCTCACTTTGGCCTTTGCTTGTTCTCCTAGGCATCATTCAGCAAATATTAGGTGCATGTTTTGCCCATGCACTGTCCTTGGCAGCCCAGCTAGAGAAGAAGAGAGAAGAGCAAGCCCTTCCTTGTAGAGCCCACGTCTAACTGTGTCCCACCCTGGCCTTTGAAAGCTGCCCAAACCTATCTTTCTACTGGGAAGAAAAAGTAATAATAATAATAATAATAATAATAATAAATACCCAGAACCCTGGGGCCAGGCCTCACCCCAACACCTGTGCATTGAAGTCTCTCTTTTCTTCCTCCTTTCCTCCGTTTCTATTCTTCCTTCTTTTCCTCTCCCTTTCTTTTCCCTGTCCTTTCCTCCTTCCCCACCCCTTACAGCCCGTCCTCCCCCTCTTCTCTCTTCTCCCATACCCTCTTCTCTCATTTCCTCTTTCTCTCCCCATCCCCCACGTGGGCCTTCCCACCTCATTATGGTCAACTGACCTCTTCCTGTTCCAGGTCGTCTGGTCTTGGCTTCCTACACCAACTCACCCCTCTGTTGTCACGTGTGGGCCATTCCCATCGGGTCACCTGCGCCTCTGTCATTCATCCTCAGGAACATTTTTACTCTACATGCTCTCAAAGCGCCCTGTTTTCCGAGCGCTACAGTTAAAACCAGGAGCCCGCAGAGCAGATGGCTGCATGGTGAATCCAGCCGCAGAACATTAACGGCGGCACTTCAGTGAGAGCAGAGTTTCCCACCAGACTCCGACACCTAGAGGAGTAGTTTGCAAAAACTGAGTGATGGGGAGTGCTTTGCCAAGACTCCTCAGTTTGCCCTTTCTGTGCCGACCTGGGAGAGAGGATGCTGACAGACAGAGCCAGCTTTCCTTGGAAACATCCATTCGGGGGTCTCTGTTACCTGCCCCTCTGCTTTCCCTCCCCCAACGGCCCACCCCAGCAGGAATTTAACACAGCGCACATGCGTGCTTCCCTTTGGCGGGGGCTGAGCCCCGGAACCCATAGGCTGCTGTGCAAACCTATGGGCCGATTCTCCTTCCCCAGTCTCCTCTAAACCCAGAGTCCCCTACAGCGGGGAGAGAGAAGGCAACACGGGCCCATGCCAGGACACAGGGATATTTATCCAGACCGTCCGTGGCCAAGCCTCCACCACAGTCAGTGAAAGGTCAGGCTCAGTTTTCTTTAAGAGAGGAGACTTGGAAGTTGCTGTTTCCCAACCCGGAGAATTCCAAAGGAAAGCTGCCATGGGAACCGCTGTGACCAACGCACTGAGTTATAAATATAACAGTTCCAAGGCATCCAGCATGCCGTCACCTGCTCACGCATGGGTCCTCTCTATGGATCCCTAGGTTCCCGCTCCCTGCCCTCAGGGTAGAATCTCAATCCTTGAGCTGATCATCAAAGTTTCCCTTCTGCCTCCAGCAAAGGTACTAACACTGCTGAGTGAGGCTCCCCACCGACACCCAAGGTCATGCTTCAGCATACCACCAGAGACGAAAGCAAGCTAGAACCAGAGGCAGACAGCTGTCATTCAAAGGGCCCTAAGCCAGTCTCCTCTCTTTCCCCCCACATTGACAAACTGTGGCTACTTGCCCTGCCTGTCATACAGGTTAAGACTGGAGAAGTGCATGAACACCCACAGAAGGGCAGAGCTAACACCAGAGTCTTCCCAGGGGCTGGCTGCCACCGGCATGTTACCCTCAGGAGACACTGACCTCATACGTGCTTTGTAACTGGTCTCCAACTGTCCAACAAGGAACTTTGCCTCAGGTTACATAAGCCATAATCTAGCAGGGAATCCTAACCCAGGAATCTTGTGACTCCGAAGGATAATAGATAAAACAGTTGAGTTGCTCTTAAAACCTTGGAATGTACTTTTATAAATTCATTTAGTCAATCAATGAATTTTTTAGTTCCTTTGTGTTAAGGGTTTGCTATACTTCAATTACAATTTCTTGGCCTCATTATATTTAGGCTATGGTGGACGGGATAGAGCAAAGTTATTTCGGAGATTTTTTTGCTTTTAAAATTGTGTGTGTGTGTGTGTGTGTGTGTGTGTGTGTGTGTGTGTGTGTGTGTAGAAGGATGCCACAGCATGTATAAGGTGAGAGGACAACTTTGAGTAGTCCCCTCTCTCATCCCAACACACGATTCCCAGGAATTGAACTCAGGTCCTCAGGTTTAGCAAGAGGCACCTTGACACTGAGCCACCCCACCAGCCTGAGAATTTTTACTGCTGTTATACCCCAACTGTGGAAGGTGCTGCACAGAGACAGAAACTTCCAGATGCAGCTGAATCGGTCACAGTGATGAAAGCCGGAAATCCAGCCACCACGAAATCCTATCAGCAGAGAAGTAGACATCCATTCCAGCGGTGGCTCTGACAGATGCTGGACTCCTGCGTTACCAGTCACTGTGCTGGGAATCCTGCAACCCTGGAGGGATGAGATGATTGCGGGCTGATATATGACAGGCAAAGTTCTGTGTTTAAACATACTGCCTAGACAAGGAAACTAACTGTCCAGGGCGTGAACTGCTTAGTCATTCCAGGTCATTACTGCAATGGCTAAGTGCAGCCCTGAGTGGACAATCAAATAGTTCCTCAGGAGAGGTGTGAGAAGTGTAGAGAAGGACTCAAGACATCCGTGTGCCTTCCTATACTTCAAGCAATAGCTGCCAGCATCTGCCAAAGTCAGTCTGCTCTTTTCTTCTTTCTTTCTTTCTTTCTTTCTTTCTTTCTTTCTTTCTTTCTTTCTTTCTTTCTTTCTTTCTTTCTTTCTTTCTCCCTTCCTTCCTTCCTTCTTCCTTCCTGTCTTTCTTTTTCTTTCTCTCTCTCCTTTCTTTTTCTTTGATGAACATTGTAATTAATTTTGAATTATCATGTATTTATTGTACAGATAGATGGGTTTCATTATGACATGTTTATATACATACATCAAATATCAGCTTTTTTGCTCATATCCATCCCCTCCTGCCCTATCTTATCTGTTACCTCTTTCTCTCTTGGTCAAACCTTCCCTCTGATAGTTCTACTTCTATATTCATGTCGTGTGTGTGTGTGTGTGTGTGTGTGTGTGTGTGTGTGTGTACTTTAAATCTAGAATCCATATATGCAGTAAAACATGCAATATTTGTCTTCCTCTATTTGGCTTATTTCACTTAACATGATGATCTTTAGCTCTATCCATTTTTCTACAAATGATGCCACTTTATTCTTCTTTACAGCTTTATTGTATATACCACATACATACACCACATTTTTTATATCCAATCATTTTTTGATTGACAGCTAGTGTCTTTTTGTTGTTGTTGTTTTGTTTTGTTTTTCGAGACAGGGTTTCTCTGCATAGCTTTATGCCTTTCCTGGAGCTCACTTGGTAGCCCAGGCTGGCCTCGAACTCACAGAGATCCGCCTCCCGAGTGCTGGGATTAAAGGCGTGCGCCCGGCTCAGCTAGTGTCTTAGGGTTTCTATTGCTGTGAAGAAACACCATGACCATGGCAACTCTTATAAAGGAAAACATTTAATTGGGGTGACTCACTTACAGTTCAGAGGTTTAGTCCATTTACATCATGGTGGGAAGCAAGGTGGCTTGCAGGCAGACATGGTGCTGAAGCTGAGCGTTCTTACGTCTTGATCCAAAGGCAACAGGAAGTGAACTGTCTCACTGGGTGTGGCTTGAGCATATATGAGACCTCAAAGCCCTCCTCCACAGTGACACACTTCCTTCAACAAGACCACACCTCCTAATAGTGCCACTCCCTTTGGGGACCATTTTCCTGCAAACCATCACATCTAGGATGATTCCACAACCTGGACATGCAAAAGCTTTTTAATTTGATGCAGCCACATTGATCAATTCTTGCTAATATTTCCATTAGAAATCTTTTCATAAAGTCCTGACCTGTGTCTGTATCTTTAAGTTTTTTACTGTTTTTTTTTTTTCTAGCAACTTCAGTTTTTCAGGTGCTAGAGCTGTGGCCTTAACCTATTTTTCTGAGTTTTTCAGATATCTTGTTACCTTCTGTGATTCCCAAAGTACTTCCTCCCTCCCTACCTCCCTTCCCACCTCCCTCCATCATAGTCTGTCTTTTGCTATTCTGATTTTTCACTCAGTGTCACAAGGAGGAAGCCTTTAATTCACCTCCTCTTGTGTGACTCTATTTCTGGGGAGACATGAACAAGTATCTACTCACACCCCATGTAGGGAACTGACAACAAACTGATAGTCCTGTTTGGTAACAATACCATCCAAGTCCAACTTGATAAGCCAATGGGTTTATTGGGGTTACTCACAGGACTATGGATGGGGGATTACTTACAGGAGCAGGAATAACTCAAAGGCGGCTGTATCACTGAAGTCCCCCTTGGCATGGGTCATGACACATGAAAGTTAGAAACCTAGATAATTTATAGGCAGCTCAACAAGTTGCAGAATCTCTTTTGAGCAGTTGTTACTGCTTATGCATCCTTGGGTGGAGGATGGTCTCTACATCTGGTAACTCTCAGGAACTTCCTAAGACTTGTCAGTTGTTTACTTCCTGAATCTTAATGAGCTTTCCTTCAGAACTTCTTAAGTCTTAAGGATCTTCCTCCAGGAATAGAGAGTTTCAGTTTAAAGGAATTCATTTACATGACACCATCTTAACCTGGAAGTCTCCAGACTTCCTCCTTAAACCTGTAGCTTCTCTTAGAAAGGATAGTGCTAAGAACAGCTATCCAGAAAGTAAGGCTATGGTGTGGTTTTATATGGTTCAATACAGGAAAGAAAAACAACTTAGTACTTGGATAACAAAGTTATGGTTAGACACATGGGCAAAATGAAGTATTAGCTTGGCACATGGACCACATCACTTTATCAGAATACACTGATTGACAAAGTGATAGGAAATGGTTTTGATGAGACTTCACTATGGCTGTTGAGATGGATGTTAACAGCAAATAGTACCAATAATGATTCAAATCCTGCCTCTGCCACTTGCCGGCTGCATCATTTCAGATAAGTTACTTAACTTCTGTGTTTTCCTATTTCTAACAGAGGGTAAAAATAGAACCTACCTCCTGGGGTCATTGTGAGAGTTCACTGTGTTAGTGCCGTGTAAGCAGGAAGTTGATTAATGTCTGGCCCCAGAGAAAACACTCCGCTATGAGAAGTGTTTAGTTAGGACTGTGATCCCTGGGTGGGCTCTCACCTTCTGCTGCAGTGGATTAGTGGCTTGATATAGTTCCACAGTGTTTGAGAGGTCTTGTTGTTTTTTCGCAGTGATGGTTGAGGCTGTGTAGAAATAACTCCCTGCCATCTTGAAAGGTCATGGCTAACTGACAAAGGGCTTTTGTATTTCTTAACAACAACATCTGATTCCGTTTTGTTTTGCTTTATAATACTGGGGATTGAACCCAGAACCTTACACATGCTAGGCAAGCTGGACTGAGCTACATCCCGGGCCCTTCAAGAAAAACAGTGTGAGTCAGAGCTGGGTGTGGTTGGTGTGCACCTGAGATCTCAAGACACAGGAGCCTGAGGGAGGAAGAGCCACAGTTTAGACCAGGCTGGCTTAACTGTGAGTTCCAGGCAAGCCTGGGCAACATAAGAGAGCCCTTTTAAAAACTAAGTGTTGTTGCCAGCATGAACGTAACTGCTAGAAAATTGTTTCCATTAATATCTGGACTAACTTTTAGAGGTGGAGTTGGGAAAAGACATGATGCCAAACTCATGCTCCAGCCTTCCAGTTTAAGAAGGAAGCAGCCATTCGAAGTATGTGGTTCCTCAGGGGAGATTATTATCTCTGGCAGCCTTCTGAGTGATTTGTCAAAATGGAATACAACCCAAAAGCTGAATCCTCTAGGATTTCAGAGTTATTATAAATGGGACAAGATGTACCCTGAGAGGCCAACGGCTTCTTTTCACGTGTTCTCGGGCAGTAGTGTGGGTGCCCTCCAGGCGGAAACGGAAGCAGATTGATGATGTTGAAGCACTATCTATCCTTTCTTGTCACAGCCCGAGTTCCCAATAATGTTCACCTGCCACAAAGAGGAAAAGCCCCCTTGAGCTCCCTCACCTTAAACTTTCAGTTCTGGGGCCAAACTTTCATGTGACTCTGAGAAAGATTTTTTTTTTTTTTAATCAAACTGGAAACCTGTGTGGACAGCTAGTTGATCAACCAGCTTTTTTTTTTTTTTTTTTTTTTTTTTTTTGCAGGCTCAAAAGAAGATTCAGAGGCACTAGGAAGAGGAGGTAGCTGTCCCATGGCCTCCACTGGGAAAAGAAAGAGAAGCATCAGTGTGTTGAGTCGCTAAAGAAGCAGTCTTTCCAAGACGCTATGGGCAGTCCTTATCTTATGGGAAGACTGGAAGACTGAATGTCCAGCAGTAGACTGAATAGGCAGCGAAAGACAGTGAACACGCTGTTATGTGTCTTAAGAATTAAGATGAGTTGGGAGATGGCGCAGTCATCTAGGCGCTTGCCCTGCAAACACAAGAACTTGATTTTAAATCCTTGTCATATGTCACCACCCATGTGACAAGCCAAGTGTGTCACCGTGCATCTGGAATGTCAGTGACGGGCAGCCCACTTGCTTACACCACCCAGCTCATGGAGCCAAACCGGTGAGCTCCAGGGTCACCGAGAGACTCTGTCTCAAAAAACAAGGTGAGGAGGACAACCTCTAGCCTCCACATGCACATGCTCCCATAGACCCATGACACAGACATGTGCACACACATACCTTTGCTAAGCAAGTAAAATTAATATTAAAATAATCTCTTAATTCCATCTACAATTAGCTAAACAAGAGCCTTGTTTCAAGATATATGACAAGTTTACTAGACTGCTTTCAATTATCTTCTGTATATTTACTCATAATTGGCTTGGAGGCTAGGGCAAAGAAATTAAAATGTCTCTTGAGGCTTTGGATTCATTTAATAATCAAAAGCTAGATATTGTATTTTAAGTATGGGATGGAATACTGACTATATTTTTAAAATGTAAGTACTCTTATTATAATGATTAAAATTATTATAGTTACTATTGATCATGCTATTTATAGGAAAAATATATTTATTTAGCCAAATATATCTTTCAGAAATAACACCTCCGTTGTAAAAAAAGAACTGGCTATTTTTTTCCCGAGTGGCATGATACTGTAAGCCATGAATAGAGTTCATCTCCTTGTAGTCAACTTATGTTAATATAACAAGTACCCAGATGCATAACTTATAAAGAAAAAAGACTTATTTTGGATTATATCTTTGGCAGCTTCAACTCAAGATTCATTGGCCATGTTGCTCTGGGCTATGGTAAGGCAGTGTACCACGGTATATGGAAGAGCAAAATCTCTAACTTCAAGGCCAGAAGAAAAGGAAAGGGAGGAAGAGAACAGGCTCCCACAACCCCTTTTGTGCTTACATGAATCAGTGGCACAAGGATATCCCATTAGGTCCCACCACCTCCCAATAGCACTGTGTTAACAGATCAAGCCTTCTCCACGTGAGCCTTTGGGGACAGTCCAGTCCAAGTAAGAGCAACTGCTGTTATGGCTACATGGAATTGAGAGGTTGGCAGAAGCAAGTCTTAGAGAATCACCCAAAAGAGTGGCACACAAGGGAATCTAAGCAAGAGGATACCATGAGAAGGTGTAAGGAATGGAAGGGGGTCCCTAGAACAGAGCCAGCCTTGCCCCAAGGGCTTTGCAGAACAGAGGACAGGATACGTACTAGCACAGGTCTGTCCTTCAGATGTGGAGACTCAGGGATGGAACAGCAGAGAAAGGCAGACTAAGTGAGCTGTCTCCAGAAGCATCAGATGGTGGCCAGGATGGCGGGCAGGTGAACTGCTTTCAACAAATAACCAGTTAAGTTGATAGAAAAAGTATCAAGTGAATTACTTGAAATTCACAAATCAACTCATTCCAAGGAATGGAACTATAACCTGTACAATGGCTGCAAATCCATCAAGGTCCAGGAACAGGGTAACAGAGCTGTAGAATTGATACGAAAAATGACAAAGCCTAATGCAGGTTATTGTTATGATGCCATTGTTTCCCTGCACTCCATTGTCAGATTTGTTTATTGTGAGACTCATACTTCCAGTGTGAACATGAAAGCTAAATTGTTATATTCTAGAAAATGTACATCTTGGGACTCACAGTGAATTGTTTCAGCATGCAAATAAAAGTATATTAATTGCTCTTGTTGGCAGTCTTAGATTTCTTACAATTAAAAAAATCTGAACCCAAATTAATTGGCCTTGAATCTATTCCAACAGCATTTTAATTATTCACTAGTTAACAATTCTCAAAAGCAACTTTATCATTAAAATGTTCCTAAGAGCATGCCTCCTCAATCCTATATAATAATTTCATACACTACTCACATTAGCCCAAATTTTCTCTGAGGTATTTATAAATGTATATAATGTGGTTTTGTATTCAGAAAATAAGCTTAAAATTCTATGAACATACAGAACATCATTTGCATGATAAATATGTATATTCTCCAAACACTTGGTTTTTTTTTCATTATGGTTTCAGTGCATCTGATGTTAATTTGTAAAAATCAACACTGTGTGTGTGCATACGTGCATGTGTATATGTGAACGTGTAGATGTGCACAAGCCTAGTCTTCCAAATGTAAAGGCTATGATGAACATGGACAAGTGTGAGAACAGCACTATGTCAGAGCTCAGCTCATGTCGCCATGGAAACATTTATCACAACAAACAATCCACAGTAAGAAAACAACTGGAAAGAAGAGAACAATGCGAATAGTACTAGACAATAGCAGACTATGTTTCAACATTAGGTTGGGCTTCTGTGGGTGGAAATTTTTTAGAGGAATCAAAATGGAGCAAGGAAGGGGAGTCCCATAGAACATCGCTTTGGTTGAGGGGTTATGTTGTTGTTGTTATTGTTGGGTTTGGGGGGGGGTAGGTGGGTTTTTTGTTTGTTTTTTGAGACAAGATTTCTCTGTGCAACAGCTTTGGCTGTCCTGGAACTTTGTAGACCAGGCTGGCCTTGAACTCACGGAGATCTGCCTGCCTCTGCCTTCCGAGTGCTGGGATTAAAGGCGTGCGCCACCACCTGGCCACTTTGATTGAGTTTTGAGGGGAATCATATAGGAAGTATTCTGTTCAACAGGGCCAGGGATCTGGAGTATTTATACCCCTCACCATGCTCATAGGTTCTGAGACACCCCAGTTTGGGGATAGGAGATGGTATCTGAAAGTCCCCAAGCATCTTGCTGTCTGTGCCGTCAGGTGGTGTCTGCAGGAGAGCGGACTTCCAGCAGATCTGTGTGTGTTGACTCTCAGGGCTGGGAGCGAACTCAGTGTTAACCAGATAAGAGGGGGCGGCTGACAGCATTTGATCACCTCTGCCGTGGTGGCACCGGACTGGCTGTGACTGCCGCATTAATTATGGGCAGCTATTACTGCACTTGCAGACCAGAGAAGGAACCGACTCTCTGTCCACACAGCATCTGCTCAGGGACAGTTTGGCCTCAGGCCACTGTCGTCTGTGACTAGGTAAGTCACAAGGAAGTCACTTGTTCAGCGAGAGAAAACACGCTCTACTGCACCATATTGTCAGAAACAAAAGTGACATTTTGACCTCCGTTTTCTTTTTTAAATAGTTTATTTAGCTTTATTTTATGTGGACTGGTGTGAAGGCGTCAGATTCCTTGGAACTGGAGTTACAGATAGTTGTGAGCTGCCATGTGGGTGCTGGGAATTGAACCTGGGTCCTCTGAAAGAGCAGCAGCCAGTGCTCTTAACCGCTGAGCCATCTCTCCAGCCCTCTTGACCTCCATTTTCAGCATCGAATCTCTTAATTCATTCAGCCCTCAGGTGAGGAAATGAGGCATTATTTATTGGGTCTTACTGAGCAGCAAAAAATAATAATGGTTAGCATTTATTGAGCTCTTTAAGGGAATAACAGAAATGATTTCACAGCACCCTTTCTTTTTAAAATTATTTTTAAAGTAAATGTGCAGGTAATTAGACTTGGATTCTTTTTTTTCTTTTCTTTTCTTTTTGAGACAGTGTTTCTCTGTGTACTTTTGGTGACTATCCTGGATCTCGCTCTGTAGACCAGGCTGGCCTCGAACTCACAGAGATCCGCCTGCCTCTGCCTCCCGAGTGCTGGGATTAAAGGTGTGCACCACCACTGCCCGGCCTGGACTTGGATTATTTTAAAAAAGTACATGACATTGGAAGGGGCATTTAGGATGAGTTGGATGGAGGAGCAAGAGGTGAATATGATTGACATTTTCGATATTATATAAAAACAGGCTTCCTGCCAGCTCCACAGGAGGAAATTCATGTCGGTACTATGAGTCTTGCCAGTTCACGACTGTGGCGCTCATGGGCTCTAGGGGTGAACTCACTACTATTACTTTACTATAATGACAGAGTGTCGAACTGCTCTCTAAATATGCTCTCCGTACCCATGGACTAGTGCAGCTCTTGGTCCTTATCAAGGAAGAGTCTTTGTGCAGGGGCAGTGGTTGGTAAGGAGACTCACAATGGGTCAAAGGGCGGAGGACAAGTGACTATGCGATGCTCAGCCATAAGTGGGACACATGCTCTGTGTGATTTGAATTTGTTTATAGACTTCTATTTCTTGGTAATTTTTGAGTGTGTGTGTGTGTGTGTGTGTGTGTGTGTGTGTGTGTGTGTGCTTATTCTTCCATGAGTGCACGTGTAGAGGCCAGAGGTCAGGGGTGAGTGAGTGTCTTCCTTTATTGCTGTCCATCTTATTTTTTTGAGATAGAATCTCTCACTGCACCTGGAGATTCATGTCTCAGGTCCACTGGCTGGCCATCAGGTCAGCCTGTCGGCCACTGTGCCTGGCTCTTATGTGGATGCTGGGATCCACATTCAGTTCCTCCTCAGTGCACAGCAGACGTTTTACCCACTGAGAATCTCCCCACCACCCCCCAGCAGGAGACACTGCCATATTTCAGTGAGATTCAAGGAGACACTTTGTAGTACAGCTCAGGTATTTAAAAAGAGAAACAGATGTATTTACATCCTTTCTGCCTGTCTGCATTGTGTGTGTGTGTGTGTGTGTGTGTGTGTGTGTGTGTGTGTGTATGCACACACACACTAATTAACTCTCCAGTATCTGTTGACTGTGTACCTGAGTCTAATATTGTAAGTGTAAAGTGGTTGCGCTTTCCCATCATGTTGCAGAGGTAAAAATATGCATTTTCGCAGACTTTCTGGGTCACCATTCTAGCAATTAGGGCCGTGTTGATCTGGTGCAGCTGCTAGTGATGGAGATTTCAGATGGTTTCAGACGAGCTGCTTCCCTTCTCCACACCCACCCCGTCTCCAGCTGCTGATACAGAACCGAAGGACCAGGTGGGGTGGGGGAGTCCAGGAGGCAACCTTGCAGAGTGAGTGGAGGATGGCCATCCCATTTTAGCTGCAGAAAGGAACTAGCCTAGATACATGTTTATGAATTCATTCATTTGGGAGGCAGTGAATGGTCACAGGAGACAGATGTAGAGCTAATAGGTTCCAGGGGTGTTTAAAGCTTTTGTGGAGGAGAGTGGCAGAGATGCTGGAAATGAATAAAAAGATCGGGTGAATTAAGAGAAATAGAATCCATGAAAGCAGCTGCAGAGGCCGCTGATGGACATCAGTGAAAATAAAGAGGTGAAACCAAGCACATTGGGACTATGACAGAGAAGAGACTATAGGGCCAACCCCAAACCTCTGCCCCCAGATGACGGTGATGTGTCCCAGCAAGCTTCCCAGGTGGGCTTCCAGGTGAAACAAGAAAATGCATGAACTGAGTCAAATGCAGATATAAGAAAGTTCTTTAAAACCACTTGAGAGGGGTCCAGAGAAACAGCTCAGTAAAGAGCACTGGATGCTCTTCCAGAGGACCAGGGTTCAATTCCCAGCACCCACATGGCAGCTCACAACTGTCTGTAACTCCAGTTCCAGGGGATTCCCTCACACAGACAAATGTGCACATAAAATACAAATAGATAAATGAATAAGATATTTTTTAAAAAATTAAAACCACTTGAGAGAAACATTGTCTTGCATGTGCTGGCCCACCATGCATGATCTCAGGTTACCAAGTGTATTCTCTTTAAGATGAGCAGTGAGCTCTGAGGCTTGTACAGGGCATCAACCCAAGGGAGCTGGTCCTCAGGCACGAGTGACTGAGCTGGTCTACCTAAGCAGCTGGAGGTCAGGAGAAGGGACCAGCCAGGCACAGAGCTGCACACTTGGGGTCAGCACTTTGGAAACTGATAAAAGAGAATTGTGACTTTGTGGCCAACCTGGAGCTACAGAGAAGGAGTCCCTGGTGGGCGGGCGGGGGGGGGGGGGGGGGGGGGGGGGGGGGGGGGTGAGGGAAATTTACAGGATGATAAAGGAGTGCTGGGTCACTTATGCAATAGTGGATGGGCTCAGATTATTAAGATGAGGATGGAGAATGAACATCAGGAAGCTGGAGAAGGGCCAGGGAGATGGCTCCATCCATAAAGTGCTTGACCAGAGTTTGTTCCCCAGCACCTATAAAAAGCCAGGCAATGGAGAGACTTAGATTTTTTTTTTTGCTAATAGTCGGGGTTAAGGTCTTCTCTTTGTGTTTTATTTGTTCAGTGGTTATTTAGGAAACACACACCCTAGGCCAGGTACTATTTCAGGGAATGGGGGATCCAGCTCGGACCATAACAAGGATTTTTTGTTGTTGTTGTTATGAAGTCCAACAGGCAGCAGAGAATGCAGTCAATAAGTCGCACATACAGTGTGTTTAGAAATGACACGTATTGTGAAAGACTCGTTAAAGAGCTTCTGCAGTAAGATACAAACAATTGCAGACTCTAACATAAGAGCACTTCGGAGCCAGGAAACACCTTTCAACTGGACTACAGAACTGGCATCAAGAAGTCTCTTCGTGCCCGAGCCGCAGAGCAAGCAGACATAAAAGAGAAGGAATGAGGACTGAGAGAGAAACTTGGAAAGACGTGCTCTGTCTCGGCAGTCTTCAGAGTCCAAAAACACCCCAAACAGCACACTGAAGCCAGCCTTTGGATAATATTCCCGGGACATTGC